CTCTCCCTCACGTTGTGATCTTGTTTTAGAAATGCCATCAATTCGAGATTCTCGACAAACGGTGGTTCTGAGTCCGCGGACATCGGACTGAAAAATAATGAAAAGGCGGACATCCGAACTTCCGGACACAATCACCGCGATCAGGCCCTCTGATGCTAAAATAACAACAAACACGATTAAAAGAAGAACATCGTCGATAAACCGAATCGGCAGAAAATCTATCACGTATCAAGAGTCCCGTTCTCGTAGGTACTCGTAGAAGAGTGATCATCCTTGCCTGATTAAGAATAGGCCATGCGAGTTTGACACATGGACGCTTATTTTTGGCCAAAGCCCGCGTATATGTCCGGAGAAAAGTTGCTCGATGTGTTCCACCAAATTAAAGGGCGCAATAAAAATAAACGAGGGTGCAAGATTACTCTTGTACCTAGAAACAAATTTGCTTCCTAATGACCATCAAATTGCAAGTTTTCTAAAACAATTTGCAAAGTTACCAGCTCATAGGTACTAGAAGCTCCTACTTGAAGAAAGTTTTAAAACAAAGTTGTATCTTTACAAAGAAGCTGTATAATGCATATGAAATTCCATTAGAAGATTTTGTTACATATAAGTTGAAAGTAAATTGTGAAACAATGTGTGGAGATTAGTGACCGTTAATCGATGATTATTCAGAAATCGTGAGATGCGGTCTGGTGTGATGAAGGTTTCAGAAAAACATTTTCTTTATCGTGCCAACGTTTCGATCTTTATTGAGATAATCTTCAGGGCTCAAAGTGCACTCTCAACACGACACGCAAGAATGGCATACTTACGCAGAAAACAAACAATTTGAGCCCTGAAGTTGATCTCAATAAAGATCGAAATGTTGGCAGGATAAAGAAAATGTTTTTCTGAAACCTACATCACACCAGACCGCACCTCACGATGTCTGAATAATTATGGAACAAGTAGAACCCATTCCATTGCCAAGTACAAGGCACTAGTTGGTGAATAGTATTCTGCATAACTCTAAGAAAGATTTAGGCAAGTAAATAAATAAAATAAATAAAGTGGAAAATGTTTTATTTTTAGAGAATCAAGTCTTACATATTTCAATTTTTTTTAATTAAACGAATCTTATTTTTTTAAGTTATTTAAATGGGAAATGTTGGACAAACCTACTACAAGACTACTGTAAATTTTTAATCACAGAATTTTTTTTCAAAAGTGGTTCAAAGTGAATAAAATGTATGTACATAAAAAATTTACGTATATTGCATATTATAGATATTAATTTAGCATAACCCCGACAACTCCTTGGATGGTCTATGGACTGTTTGCTATTAATTTAATTAATTAAATTTGTCATGCATTTTTTTCAATAAATAGTACTCAAAGATATTTTTTTGTATTTATAAAAAATTGTACCATAACCTTATCTATTTTTATAAGCGTTGTCAGTTTGTTCAAAGGAAGGAATTTTTCAACAGAGGCTTTCGACCGAGACAGAGCCATATAATTTAATTAAATAGTCTAAAATCCCGAAGCCAGAAACGCTATTTTTATACGGCATTGAGCTCTCTACACCGAACGGTTCTCTAATTGACAAAGCGTTGTGTGAAATAGTTGGAAACTGTACGCCGCCCTGCCACCTTCGGGTGAAAGGAAGCTCAAGGTTTGTTGACAACAATGTAGAAACGAGTCAAAACAGTTGTGACAATTATTGACTAACACTGTCTGCCGTAGTGTAGAAAAAACTGCCACGAGTTTACCTGAAAATGCATCGATGATCTTATTGTATCATAAACAGCGGGACAATCCGGAACGTGCGTCTTGCCTTCCTCAATGAGCTTTCACCAGTTCCTCGCACACTCACATCGTGACTACCTGCCATATACATTCGAGCCAGATTAGTCGCCATCTTGAAAACCATGTAAATTTTTATTTCGACGTCTTGTAAACCCAAATCGGATTAAAACAGGCTCATTAAATAGGAAGTACATCTCATTTTTCTGCCGGCATTAACTACTAATCTTCACAGCCTATTAGCGGAAAATAACAAAAAACAGAGCTTAGTGTTCCTAACAAAGGAAAGATAAAGTACAGCAAAGAAACAGGACACTAGCGATAATGGAAGATTGACGCATCAACACTCCCTTAATAACAAAATGCATTCAAAATGCAATATAATCAGGCCATATAAACAGCTTAAAAGTAAATAGGGTTACTGCCAATTTTGTAGTATTTATTTTCTTAGCATTTTTATTTTACTTTTACTATAAATGGTTTAAAGTATAAAAGGTATCGTGTTTAATGTATAATCCTCTGTTAGCACAAAACCTCTGTTCACCTGTTAGGCAAACGGTTAATAAGGTTGTCACTAATTTCATAAGAAATTTCACTCATAGGTGTTGTAACGCTCATTAGAAATCCTTCTTTGCAATGCATCCCACAATTCGCACATGTGCTCAATGGGTTTGAGATGTGGTGACAATGAGGAAAGGGGAAGATGGAAAATTCATAGATTTTCTAAACAGTGATGAACAACTATGCCTATGAGGTCATTGTCATCCAGAAATCGAAAATCCCTGCCAATGAGATCTTTGGTGTGAGAGACGTTTTCCTCGATAATTTCGTGGACATTGGATTGCGGTGAGGTTGCCTTCAACAATATGGAGTCCAGTTCGTCCTCCAGTGGAAATCCTCCCGCCTCTTTCAAACTGCACTGAAGAGAGCACGAACGGCATTCTACTCATCCCCTTTTCTAGGTAGACTCTTCGGCGCCTGCTATCACTATACAGACAGGAACGCGACTCATCAGTAAACATAACAGCATTCCAATTGGTGTTCTCTTCTAAGCGCTCGGTACACCATATTCTCCTGAGTTGCTGGTGGCGGGCAGTTGCTGCAGTCGTCTCAAAGGGGCATACGATGTGAAACCAACGATTCGTAATCGTTTGTGTTGATAAAGCCTTTGCTAAAACATCTTGTTCTTAATTTAGGATCTTGCGGGCACTACGGAAATGGTTCAGCCATGCAGCAATGACAATATTTCTGCCCTCCCTTAGCGTCCCGCTACCAAGCCTCCTCTCCAAATATTCCTTTAAGCCCGGGAGACCACGCTCTCACATTCTCCCAACAATAATGCGAACGTCTGGTTCATGATCATGTCTTTCCATGGTTTAGGAGACTACAACTGGATTAAAATAAAGAAAACACTAGAAAAGTTACTTGTTATGTTTATTATTCTTAAGTAAATCCGTTATTAAAAATGAGGATTAACATTTGCCTTTTTGGTTTATATTTAACAAGTATATATCAGTTAATTTAAGTAAAATTATTAGAATAAGAATAAATTACAAATATTCCTATTGATTTTTGAGCAGTTTAGATTAAGTTCGTTGGTTAAAAATGACTTACAAGGGGACAACCAAATTTTTTTTTTGATATTCTACACCATAAAATATTAGACATGTATCCACACTTCTTGTGAATAGGCTCTGGTTTTGCCAAAAACAATTTTTGAAAGTTAAAATTTTCCGTTTTTTTCAATATTTTTACTTCGCCGTTATCCTTTCTCAAACCAACTATGTAAATGTATTATTTTAGTGATTATTTTATGTAGAAATATAGGAAAGTTATTAAAGTTTATCAATAACCAAAAAAAAATTTACAAACCAATTATTTTTCCCGTAAATTAGGTCATACTTTTTTATTTATTTATTTATTTATTTTTTGTTTTTTTGTGGGACCTTCATATTAATGAAGCCGTTACAATCAGATATTCCGATAACGGTTTCTTAAAAATCGGAAAATCTTTTGGGGTAAAAAATTGATTAATTTAATTTCATACAAAAGTTTATATTTATGGGGTATCTAGGGGTGCTAAAACGAAATTTGATAATAGTTACAATTAATTAAGGTTTTTAGTTGAGATAGAAAAGACAATGGCACGAGCGGGATTCGAACCCACGATCTTCGGCTAGATACGCCGCTGCTCAACCACTTGACCTATCGTGATCTCGATCCACTCAGACAACTTCCCATCTCAACCCCACCTTTTGAATTTTCCCTCCTTTTTGCCATTTTTCAAATGTCGTGTAATCGGATTGGATTCTCTCGACAAATTAAATAGCCACGGAGAGCTTTAGTGAAGTACTTCATTTAAATCATTAAATTCACTAATTTCGTGGTCCGCTTGACGAATTAATATATTACAATTAATTAAGGTTTTTAGATGAGATAAAAAAGTCAATGGCACGAGCGGGATTCGAACCCACGATCTTCGGCTAGATACGCCGCTGCTCTACCACTTGAGCTATCGTGATCTCGATTCACTCGGACACTAACTTCCCATCTCAACCCTACTTTTTGAATTTTTTTGTTTTTTGAAAAATAGCAAAAAGGAGGGAAAATTCAAATTTTTTCAAATTTTTATTCAAACAAAAAATATTTGGTTTTTAAATTTTTTTGGTTATTGATAAACTTTGACAAGTTTTAGTATATTTTTATTGCAATGTACATAAAAAATTCAATAAATTGATATATTCACATAATTGATTTGAAGAAGTAGAACAGCTAAATAAAAATATTAAAAAACGGAAAATTTCAACTTTCAAAAAATGTTTTAATTATACCAGGGCCTATTCACAAGAAGTGGCGGATATTTGTGGGATATTTCGGAGTGTAGAATTACCAAAAAAAAGTTCATCCAAATTCGTGACACACCAACTTGCTCGTCCTCTTGTACGTTTGTTTTTCAAGTTCGTACTTTATTTTTACCGTAAATTTTCTTAATTGTGACAAGATTAGACCTGTTTATTTCGAACCTTTATTGATGAGTGGCAGTGTGCTTGAGAGTAGGCAGTGGGAGGCATTATACATTATACATCCTGTCTATAAAAGATCGGGACATCAGGGTCATGGTCAAGGATGTCATGTTTTACCACCAAAGTAATGGTAGTAATGAATAAAGTATAGATGCTTTTGTTTTTTTATACTTTCCAGGCTTTTAAATAATTTCATTTTATTTTTCTACAAGGAATGTGTGAAATTTAAAACATATGCTTGTTTTGTTTATCAAATAGGTTTCTTAGATGAAAAATTAGGCGAGAAAATGTTTGAAGATGGTACGCATTGGTAGTTTGAAGAAAGTATGTAACTATTTACCGGGGAGACATCTGCTGACGACGTGGTTGTTTTCGATATGGGTGCATTTCGTGCTGCTGATCGGCGTCATGGACCTCAACAGGCACGAAGTGCCGGTGAGCCCGGCGACAGTTTCATCACCGAGAGATGTGAAGTCTTCGGCAAAAGACAGCCCGGTACGAAGATTGGTCGTTTTCCACGTCGACGGCCTCGCCCCTCTTCGGTTCTCGGCTCACATTGACCAACAACCGAAGCTGACGGCGATCGTGGCGAGAAAGGGCTCGTGGGGAATCACTAAATCGCCTTCTTATATCACAAAACGTCAAAAGATGCTATCCACATTCACAGGTAAAAATAATCTGGAGATAAATAGCTCAGCAATAGAAGATGTAAAAAACCCCTAGAAACTTAGATCTGAACAGACTTTCAACAGCCAAAATGAATCTTTGCTTGATCTGACCATTCTAGCATGTAGGTAATCTCTAACTTTGCATTATCGAATGAAAACTTATATAGCAAGAAAGATAAATTCATAGATAAACATATAATCAATCACATGTACTGATAATAGAGAAGTAGATAGAAGGTTACGCAGATAGGGTGACAGATTCGAAAATGAATCTAGACAGACAGACCGATAAAGCATACAGAATTATAGACAGTTGACAGTTGGACAGTTGGAGATATAGATCAATATAATAATAAATATATAATTCCTTAAATTCACTAATTTCGTGGTCCGCTTGACCAATTAATATATTACAATTAATTAAGGTTTTTAGTTGAGATATAAAAGTCAATGGCACGAGCGGGATTCGAACCCACGATCTTCGGCTGGATACGCCGCTGCTCTACCACTTGATCTATCGTGACCACGATCCTCTCGGACACCAACTTCCCATCTCAACCGCGCCTTTTGAATTTTCCCCTTTATCTCAACTTTTTGCCATTTTTCAAATATATAGATGGACATATAGACCTACAAACTAAAAAAATTTTGTTTGTTCAATTTAGGCTCATATTGGGCAAAAGGTGTAGGAATTTTGGAACAGTCCGGCTCTGTTTATTTCGTCGGCGATCCGAAGACTGCAGAATGGCTGACACCTCTGGGAAATAAGCTGCGGGCTTTTACCTGGCAAGAACCATCTTGGGACAAATACAGCTACATGTCAGACGACAAAGCTGCCGACGAGTGGGTGCAGAAACAGACACTGGCGTTGTTAAATACAAAAACCTTCCCTGAAATCAACCGCGATAAGGTTGTAAACTAAACCAAACTGTTTTAGGTTTATACAAATTACTTTTTCCCCTAGGCTGTTATTATGATAAGATTCGTCGGACATGATATGTCTGGGGAGCTCGAAGGCGAAAACTCCTTGAGGGCGAAGGATGCTCTTGTTCGGATATTAGCCATGATCACGAATATAATAACAGTCGCTGAGGATAAATGGAACGACCAGAGGACGACGTTCGCAATACTTTCGGATAGTAACGAATCGCCGATTGTGACATGGGGTCCGGCGATTTCGTCCGCACTAGTGCCCGAGCCGAATCCATCGAACATCAACTGGAAATCTCCTTACACGAAGAGAAGGGACATGGACAGGCGATCCGTGGCACCCCTGCTAGCCTGCATTCTCGACGTCGAACCGCCGATCGATTCCGTGGCGGGTCTTCCGATCGACTTCCTCGAAGAAAAGCCGAGGATGAAAGCACAATGCTCCTCAAAAACGGCCACTCAGGTAAACAGCATACAAAAAAAACATAGCTTTATCTGATCAATTTATTGTTTAGATTATGAAATTGTTCCTGGAAACAGCCAAGCATCACCAAAGCTACGGTAGGATTAAACTCACGACTCTTTGGACCTCAATAACACAAAAGAGCGCTATCAAAATGTCCGATATTATCGACGGCGCTTATGAAGATGGTAAATGCCTCGATTACAACAACGATCAGGAATAATTTATTATCATTTCAGGAGATTATCTCGGTGTTATTGCTGCGTCGAAGATACTCACGGACAGATGTTTACGTGGAATGCACTACTATGGAGAGTTCAAAAGGAAGTTTAGCACATATCTTCTTTTGCTGACCGTGCTAGGATGGACTTTCGCCTGTGCCACTTGGCTCTGTCCCAGACTAGACATAGACTTAGGCCCTGCGTAAGAAACATCTTCAAATTATACGTTCTATTTTTAATGTTTATTTTCATTAAAAGGGAAAATGGTCCGAAGACGGTTGTGTACTGCAGGCCCAGGGTTATTTTCGACATAGTGATGGCTTTGGTTTCCACCGGGTTAATAGTAGTATGCTGCTTCGACGGTCTGCCTTGGCGATTCCATTCATACCTCTTGACACCTTGTTTTATCTGGTGGACAGCATTGAGGGACTCTCAGTACTGGATGAAAGTTTATAAATGCTCCATGCACCCAGAAGCCATGAGTTTCGTGAGCGGCATATACGTAGCTTTCGCCGGGATCTGCTGGTAATTAAAAACAAAACCATGAAATATAGCAAAGGTGTATATTTTAATTGTTGGCAGGTCTATAATAAGCGATAGACTATCGTTGTCGCTTCTTCTTGTCGGGACACTAACCTTCTCGTCGTTCTTTTCGATGATGAAGACCAAATCCGTCCGCCTTAAGATTTGGCTGCTCACGTCGATTCCGTTCATTGTGCTCTTGCATGACAGAGCGAACGAGATAGACGAAGATTCCGGCCTTACGCACGTCATGTCCGCTGTCGCTTGGATCTGCGCGGTTTCCTTCATATCAAAAATAGCCTCGGCGAAACTGGGCGACTCGCCGATTTTGGTAGCAAACGTCATATCCCTCATAGCCATATTGTTCAAAGGAACGTCAGGAATGGCCCCCGCGTCATATCATCTAGCTTGGCTTGTAGCATTGTTCTTACCGTTGATTGGAAGTTGCAATATCATAATGAGACTCTGCCAGGTAAGAAATGGTGAAAAATATACTTGAATTTTGTTTAACTTGTTTTTGTTTTATAGATTTTTTTCTCTCTTTGCACACCGTTCTTCCTGTTGTCTACCGGTAGCGAACCTTTGTCCCTTCTAGGTCTATTGTTTCATGCGTCGACCTGGTACCTGGCGGAATGTTATTCCAACTGCGAGAACTCCGAGATACTCAAAGCCGAGCTGTCCGAAGGAGATGAGGGGACAAGAAAATTCGGTACTAACGATTCCAGGCGTGTCTTCTTCTACATGGTGTACGTGATACTCGCGACGTCGGCAGTCAGGATAACAGACAATTTGATCGTTTACAACGGAGACTTTACCAAACTGGACGAACAGATTGTTAGCGTAACATGGTGGGCGAAGGGCTTCGTGCCGATCCTGTGCATCAGCTGTCTGCTCATACTGCTGTGGAAGAAGAGCAACGGAGACGAACTGGCCCTAGGCCTCGCGGTCTTGTTCATGTGCAGCCTTATGAGTTTCTTGTTCCTGTTCATGGTTCTGGCAGGAGGCGAAGAGCAGAACAAGCTGCAGTGGTCCGTATCGCACTACTTCGCAGGGCAATATATCTCGATCGTCACAATTTTGTCTCTACCAGCATCTTACGTCCTCACCGTGCCGTCCATATTGAGCAAGTACATTTCCTCCCCTTACAACCAACCTGCGCACACATCCTAAAAGTAATAAATGTTTTTTGCACATTGTACGAAAATTATTCCATCTAGTTTTTTCCTTTATCAGGCTCTATGAGTTTTATCTTCTCAGTTTGGAAAAAAAAATTCATTTAACAATTCGACACCGCACGCAGATGATTTAACAGTGTTAAATAATAGTCAAACGTGATGAAAACGAATAGATATTAAATGTAAAAGACAAGCCGTGAACAAGCGTTACATCACGTCTCGTATTTATACAAGTCTATAATGTCGTTAATACTTTCACGCCCTTAGTATTGAAGAAATGTTTTTTCTCGTCCGATACACTCCTGGAGCGAAAGTATTCTAATGATCTGCCTTAGACCTTGTGATAGCGTACGTGTCGTAACACGTTGAATCATCTGGATTCTTGTGTCTCCCGTTATTGAGGTTTGACTCACCTAACGTAACGCGTGATGGAAAAATGATTCAAAACAGGTTTTGAAATGTCGCTTCTGTTCACCCTCGTGGTTACTCTCCAATGGTTAATCAGTTTGAAGATTTTCCTGGAATTTCTCAACGGTGATGATAAATCTCAAGGATAAATGACTCAAAACACGATTTGACCTATAGAATAATTCAGGAACTGCACCTTTACACGCTAACTAAAACGATTCCAACAGTATTTCAATAGTATTTCCATAAATTAAAATAAGATAGAGTAATTTAAAATTTCGGATTGTTTTATAACCGTTTTGCTTGTTATATTTATGATTGTAACAATCTTAAACTGTGTAGATAAAAAAACCATATGATATAAACTGATACAGACTATTTAACAGTTACATGAATAAAATGATTTGGAAAATTTGCCAAATGACTCAAAACTGCAAAGTTATGTTGCTGTAGAAATTCTAGAACGTGTCACCACACCATTTTTTTAATAATAAATACCAATTTTTATTGTAAAACTTCGTAATAGACCCAAGGTTTAGGGGTCTTTTTCAGGGTCCACAGAGAATAATCTTAATCTTCTTTAATATCTTCATCTTTACTTTCATATAGACATATCACAGATTTTTGACAAATTACAGGTGCGTAATCAAAATTTAAAAACGTTCCCATGGATCCTGACAGTATTCCTAAAATTATTTTGAAGAAGTGTTGTGATGCCCTGACCCTACCTCTCTCCATTCTTTTCAAGAAGTCTCTGAATTCTCAAATAGATGGAAAATTAATTTTATTACCACGGTTTATAAAAAAAGGAGATCGTAAAAATATTGAAAATTATCGCCCTATCATGGTTCGATTATTGCTGATGGTTTGAGCTCCTCGATTACACATGTTATTCTGAAATAGCAGCAAAGGTCGCTCCTGTATTACGAACGTTGTTTTCTATAAATAATACATTTTAAATAATCTAGAGGTCCGTAAATGTGTTCACTCGGTGTATACGGATTTATCAAAAACTTTTGATAGTGTGGATCGTCTTATCCTGGTCAAAAAACTAGGTGTGGGCCAACCCGTCCTTTTTGTCTGTGAGGTCTTTTGTTGTAAGATTTGTCGACGGCTTGTCGAAACCTGTCCATGTACGATCTGGTGTGCCGCAGGGCTCTCATTCTGGTCCGATCTTATTTCTTTCATTTTTTTAAAGACGTCGCCTCTGCTCTCATTAATTCTTTATTTTCACTGTTAGCAGACGAGTTGAAAATTTATCGCCCTGTCGAATCGTAAAATGATCTTACAAAACGCTTCTGGCTTTGGTCTAAGGGTAATAATTTCAAACTAAACGAAAATAAATGTAAGATTTTGAGGTATTAGACGCTCGAACAAGCGTCTAATAATTTTATGATCTAATAACACCATAAAAGATTCCATAAGCTTCCCCAGCAGCTTTCTAATTCGACTTAATCAGGTTGACTTAAAAATTCAATCAATTGTCATTTGCATTTTCATAATTCAAAACTATTACAAAAAAACCTTATAAATTAACTCACTAACTTTCTATACCCTGAAATTACTGCCTATCTCGGTAGCTTAAAAAATTTAATAGGTTGTTATTTCCAACTATGAATTTTATGTAATCAAAGCTAAATATAGGATAGACTTTTCTTGTGTATATTGTTTTCTTAATTTTGAGTACTAATGATACTTAATTGTAGTAGAAGTAACTTTTACTAATAGAACGTGCGACGTATTTGCCACGTTAGCAGCACTGGGATCGAATCCCAGTGATCCCATGTTTTTTTAATGGATTATAGTTTGTAAACCGAAAGCGAGAAGGGCACCGGGAGCTGGAGTCTTAGAGATGAACCCAAAGACCGAACTGACGGTAAACCTAGATAAACATGCTACAGTTTTCCAGTCTGAAATCATAGCAATTGAACAATGCGCCAGAGAAATAAAAGGGGAATATATTCCCGGAAGAAAGCCATTTTCTCTGAGAGTCAGGCAGCGCTAAAGGACCTAACCTCATGCGAGGCAAAGGCAAAGAGTGTTCCAAACTGCAAGAAGTTCCTGACGGAAGTCACCGACACTAATGACCTGACTCGCATGGGTCCCTGGACTTTCGGGGCCCAGAGGACGAAAAGGTTGACATGTTGGCCAAAAAGGGTGCCAAAATGGACTCTCTGTGCCCAGCTTAGCAGCATGCCACAAAAGAGGATACATCTTAAAATGGATCCTTAATGACCCAAAACCTGGTGGAACAATACCACACATATGAGGTACCTGAAGAGATAGAAGGACCATCCTTACAAAGGAACTTTCTGGGCAACCGGAACCAAACCAATGTTCCGGTTGGACTCCTGACAGGGAATGAGTTTCCCGAGAACTCTTCGTCACAAGACAAGAGGTCTTTAACGTCCGCACCTGGCCTATTCGGCCTTATCGGACGTTTTGATTCTCAAGATGAGAGCTGACGCACGTCCGCATACGACGGAATGGTGTTACCGCCGCAGCATTGGTGTAGAGGCGCCCCAGCCCCTAAGGGCCAAGACAACCTCGCTCTCCGCTTGTCACTCCGAATGGCCGGGCCCGCATTGTGCATCGGGTCGTTTGCCGCGCGCAAAGGCTAACAAGCCGAAATACATCAGCCTGTTCTCCCGCGCACTCCCTAGATAGAGAAGGCGTCCCTATCTCCCAGAGTATTGGGGATCCCAGCGTAGAAACTTCCGGGAACGCCGCTGGCAAAGCTTTGGAGGCTGGTTAATAACCTGAAGCTGGCCAGTGAGTTATAAATAACAGGGGAGCACAATAGATCTATTCAGGTCGAGGTGCAGTAGGCCTTGTGGCTGCCTCTTTTATCCCTATCCCTATCCCCCCCCCCTAGTTAACCACAATCCATCTAGTAACTCCTTCATTATTATGTCTGCAAGGATTGGTGAAAGAGATCATCTCATTGCTGGTTAAAATATGTTTTTTGCTCGAGTTCAGTACCATGAAAATGTCAGTTACAATGGAGTTGAAAAGATCTGACGTATTTGAAATATGGTTCGGTGGACTAACATTGGCAATTTTTCTTCGTCGCCAACATTATATGAAATGCTATCATGAAACTGCAACTCTATTTTTATTCTAATAGTAAACACGGATTTTTCTTCTACATTTAAATTTATTTCGTGAAATTTAGAACCATGGAAATTTCAATTTTATTTTCATCCAAAAATAAATATTAAATGTTTGAAAAATCTTGGATTTGGTGCCCTAAGCAGCAACAACTGCTGCGACACCAGCAAAGAACGAGCGAGCAATGTCATGGACGAACTACATTTCCATTTTTATTTAAATAATAAATATAAGTTTTTGAGTGAAATTACGTTTTTTGCTGAATGCCATGAAAATGTCAGTTACAATGGTATTGAAAAGTAGATCTGAACTTTTTTGAAAAAACATGGATTTGGTGGCCCAACTGCAGCAATTTTTTCTGCTTCCCAAATCAAATACGAATCGTTGTCATGGACGAATTAATAATCTATATGTATTTTAATAGAAAATATAGGTTTTTCTTGTATATTTGCATTTATTTGATGGAATGTAGACCCGTTAAAATATTAATTTCAATTATGATTATAAAAAATCTTGATTATTTAAATAAGGTGTATTTAGTAGCCTAAGCAGCAAGATTTGCTCCGTCAACAACAAAAAACAAACTATTATTTTCTTTATTAATAAATAGTTAAATTTTGTTACGAGAAGATTTGTCAATTACAATAATATTTAGTTTTTAAAAAAATTAAAAATTTAACTATTTGAAATGTGGTGAATTTTGTGGCCAAACTTTGGCAATTTTTGCTTCCTTCCTAACGAAGGATGATGCGTTTTCATGGAGAAACTGCAATTCTACTTTTATTTTAATAGTAATTACAGATTTTTCTTTCATATTTACGCTTATTTGACCGAGTGTAGAACCATGGAAATTTTAATTACATTTTCATTCAAAAATAAATTTGAATTATTTGAAATATGGTGGATTTGATGGCCAAACTTTCCAACGTAATACGATGCGTTGACATAGACGAACTACATGTACTTTAATAGTAAATATGGATTTTTCTTCTATTTTCTGTCCGCCAGGTTGGCGGTTTCATGAAATAGTTGCACATACATCGGAAATAAATAACGATGTCGAAGTAAGGCTTTTTGCATCATCATTTAGCCATTTATATCTTAAGGGAACTGTGAGTAAAAGAAATGAAAGTGCTTGTCAGGTCAACATGGCAGCAATTCTTGCCGCATCACCGACAAAATACGAATCCTTGCTTTTTCATGTTTTGCATTAACCCATAGAGGCTTTTTTCCTTTTAGGTTATTTTTTTAATTTTATACATTAGAATTTTGTACATTTGGTTTTTGAAAGCCCGTTTAAATGATCTGTATTGGTTGATATTTTTCATTCTTAACAAATCTTCCAAAAAAAAAATGGTAAAAAATTTATTTGAATTTTCTTTTTATATATCTAGATAAAAGTCAGTGAAAAGCGTAAATGCGATTTGTCTGGCCAGTATGGTGGGTGCAGTAACGTTTGCTGGGTCACCAGAACTATGAATCCTTGCATTGCCAGGCTTTGTATTATTATTAT